TCTTCATCATCCAAGTCTAACTCGATCGGCATTTCCATGCCAGCAACACCCGAATCCCGTGTATCACCTTCAGCAGAGTTACGTCCGCTATCTCCTTCCCAAACTTTGCCTAAAAAAGCGATTTATTAACTGTAACAAAGGAAAGAAAACTTATATCTATACCTCTCTTGATTCCTGGTGAGAACGGTACAACATCTTCCCAGTCTTTTTCACTTTTCGCTTGGTCTTCAAGATATTTTAGCAGATGATCTCGTTTGAACGGTCCAGTAGGCTCTTTTGTGGTTTGGTCTTTACAGCGCTGTGACGGAGGCAACATCGAATTCTAAATGGATAGATTGCAAGAAAGGAATAAATCAAGCAATCGTCAGGCGCAGAATTTCCCATAGATTCAACATAAGGGAATCATTCGCAGAATTTCATGGACGGATTAATTCGTGCTTGTGTATACTTTACGAAATACGATGCGACAGCAGCAAAATTATTCTGTTTTATTCATCCTTATACTAATTCTCGAGAAATTAAAAAAGACCATCTTCAGGCCTCAGAAATATTACACAAGTGATTCTGTCGTTAAGATTTTTGGACAGCCTCAAACACTCTCAAACGCATCAAAAGATCATTGGTCCCTATCATGCCTAACTCTATTTTCATTCCGAAGATTATGACTCCAAGAAAATATTTTTGTACTCGTTTCCATATTTGCACAACGCTGCAAGTCTACGAGCAGATCTATGAAACCATTAGTGGCGTGGTGTTCTGTTTACGTTTCTCAATTCTAACGCGCTGAGCAAACTGCGCCGATCATGCACCATCGATCAATGGGTTCGATAGGATGCAAATCTGCGCATAAGTTTGGTGCATAGGAATTGCATAATCACATACAGACGACATACCAATCCGTCCCGTGACATCAGCCGCAAACTCGAAAACAGCTGATGAAACGTAAATTTATACAAACACCGCGAGTTCTTGTCAGTACCAGTCGCACCCTACCAAAAAACTTCTGGTAAATATTAAGATTGTCGAGCTTAGCCGGAATCGACAGCCGCCACCAGTTTCAAATTTGCATTTCGCACAAACTTGCGTTAAAACGTCACTCAACAAAAATTTACATAGTAGACTGGATATCATCAGTGTGACTACTTGTTCAATCCCCTGTTGGGGTCTATTGACTTCTAACACAATCCATATGTTCTAGCAATGAAAACTTCTCGAGCAGGGAACGTGTTCACATTTTTCGAGTTCGATCTAGCACCGTAAGCAATTTATAATTGCAAAACTGCGATATTTATCAACTAACGACAAAGACGGATGCGAGAAGAAGCGAGTCAAAATAAATATGACTCATTTAGAATCTGATTACGGAAACAATGTCCCTATCTACGCTGAACCGATTCCAGGGAGTCCGTTCCTTAACTAGAGAA